TGCTTAGCAGAAAGGAGGCAGGTGAGAGAGGACAGACATTGCCCTATTGTCAGCGAAACACTCTCTGTCCTTTATCATATGATTCCGAAACTATACTAGGAAGTGCACTCACAAGGGGGCTGCTGGGACAGACCTCATCCATCTGTCTCTCTCGGGCTGATGTGATTGTGTGGTTCCCTCATGTTGTCCAGACACTGTGAGGTTCTGCCCCCCATCCCCCACATGGCACGGCAGCCAAGACAGCAGGGCAGAAAGATGGGGGAGCTCAGCTAAAGGGCAGTGAGAGGCCCCATATCCAACCGTGGGGAGTGGGGGAAGGTGGGAAACCCTGACTTCGCTGAAATGATTCACTCAGGAGGACTGAGTGGTTGCTTCCATTTCCAAGGTTACTGGAAAAGCAAGTTCACATCTCAATTTACTAATAAGCACTCTACTTAAGAAACCCAGGGTTTAGTTTCAATAATATGGACAAAAAAACGGAGTAGAAAACCATTACCTTCTGCTTGGAAACTAGAAAAACTCCTCTCAAGAGATGCAGGTTTATCCTTTAATCAGAAGGAGAGGGAACCCCTGGCTGATGGCCCAGGTGGGGGAAACGGGAAGAGAGAGGGATGGGGTAATTAGCCTTGGGAATGCCCGTTTCTACGGAGTCGGGAAGGCCAGCCATTCACCCTAAGGAAGAGGTGGGAAAGCACAGTTTCCTATTCTGTTCCTTTAGGATCTGTATCAGTAACTTAAAGATTTTTATGTTTTTGTTTGCTCGTTTTTTATGTGGGAAGGACAGGTATTTTAAACGACGTGATAAAGGTAATCAGAGCTATTTTTAAGAACACGGTTTCTGCAAAGCGAGGTTGCCATGGAGTTACTTAGGGTTGTTCAAAGCCAGGGTAATGACTGAGAGAAAATCCTGTCTGGCAAGTGCTTTCATGTTTCCTCGTTTCCTGCATTGCTTACTCAAAAACATCCCCACCTTTTGTTGTCAGTTTTTGTTTTTTTTTTTTTAATCCCTTTACTTATGATCTTCATGTTCCTGGGCACTCAGTGTTTTCCTTAGCAAGAGGAAAATGATTCCCTCTAGTGTAGCCAGAGTCAGAAGTTTCTCCTTACAGGTAATCATTAAGGGAAATGTTTTATTTTAGTGTTCCTCTTTTTCATGTCATGGGAACCATGGATAAGCCAGCCGCTCATTTACTTTTTATTTCTTACTACTCTGAGGAAAAACAGCCCCAAGTTGTGTTGGACGGTGCTGGGGGAGTTTCTTCACATCGAGTGAGAAACCTTGCCATCCACTTGACACAGCCTGGCATTTCCAAAGGCAGCTGGGGCTGTCACAGAAATTTCCAAGTGCTCGCTGAAAAATATTTTATCAGAGGAGCTGAGAGAGGTATGGTCTCTGTTCAGGATTTTTGTCATGTGTTTCTGTGATTTTATGTTGCTTTAGGGGTTCTTAATAAAAATACAAAAGGCTTGGCATATTTAAAAATACAAAATACCAGACTGCTCTCTCTTCGATTTCTGTATCCTCATGCTGAAAGTCATTAAGTGGGCTTCTCTGTTTTGGGTGTTCCTGGCTGATGATGGCCCTCAACAAAGACAAGTTCCAAGTGTTTATGAAGAATGCCAGGGGCTGATGGCAGCTGAAGCTGGAAACACTGGGAACTTGAAAGGAGTGAAGGTGACTTTCTCAGAGGCATAAATAAAGCCAAAGCTTTAAGAAGGAATGGTAGCATGTACCAAATCTTACTGCTGCCACATCAGGGTAGCGGCTCCTGAGATGAAGGGAAAATATATTCTCTTCTTCCCACCTCCCCAGCTGAAGCATGGACCCAGAGAATGAAGCTCACAAGGGGCTAAATAACATTAGCCCAACTGTAGGGTTACCTATACGTGGGCCAACAGGCTTGCATGGGATGACGGATAACCTAACCATCGCTGATAATTTTCCTCATATGAGATCACATATGGTGTGTTGGAATCAGCCAACCTTAGAGTTTGGGGACTGCCTGCAGTCTTCAGAAAATTCTAGTCTCTTTTAAGATGCCAAGTGACTTGGATACCACCGAGGAGCAGTTCGGTGCTTTGCTAGTTCGTTAGATTTTAGGAGATTATAAGAAAGGCTCAATGGTGAGATTACAGAATAAAACTATAATTGTTATCTTCCTTTCGGTTAGTTAAAAAGAACTGTCAAATGAGAAGGTAGGAAGAAGCCACAAAAATATAAGGACATTAAGGAAATCAGAAATGGCATTTGAAGTTCTCTGACTGTGACCCAACACAGGGATCGCTGGAGGAGGGATGGCAGTGGGCACCCAGAGGGGTGCACAGAATGTGCCCAATTCTCCTCAGACCACCCTCCAACCACCCCCACACCTGCCAAGAACCTCTTTATTTTCTTCCTCACCAATTTCAAAATGCTCTGTTCAGGAAGTGTGAGAAACATCACATTTGCTTTCAGACAGAAAATAAATTTTCATGGGCTAATTTCAATTTTGTGTTTTCAGTGGGATAATGTGCTTAGTGATTTGAAAGAGCATGTGGTGGATTTATGCCCACTTTGGGGCATAACTGCTACCAGCTCTCGGCACTCTTCCTGGAGATAGCTGGTCAGAACCACAGCCCAGGCCGGGGGTTCATTCCACACCTCTGGCTTAAAGTGTGCTTCTGAAATAAATTTTACAAATAAACAATCTGTGTTCTAGTATGTAAAATGCAATTTCAGGCTGCTTGGCTGAAACCAGGCCATCATCCTCCCACTTGATTATCCACCGACACATGCACTTTCGCATCTATGCCCTGTGCATAGTATTGAATGAAACATAACTGCAGACAAGAAACGTGACAAATTTAATAGTATTTTTTAAAAAAAACAGTTGAAGTCTTTAAGGAGGGTTAAGGATATTGTGTTCGTGTGCACGCATTTTGTGATTTTCCACTCAAAATTTAAAAGCAAAGGAAGCTCTCAGATGAGATCAATTTAGTGGCTTGGAAGATCAAGTAGAACAATTATTTCAAAGCACAGAAGAAAAACAGAGAGACGGCAATCATAATGGAACAGGTAAGAGAAAAAAAGGAGCAGATGGAAAAGTAATCATTGAACAAATAATCAATGAAAATTTCCCTGACAATATCTCAGTCTGCAAACTGAAAAGACTCCCCAGTTAGGGTAGTTCTGATGAGAAAAGACATACAAAGTAAATCCTGGTAAAGTTTCTGAACTCCCAGGATATGTAGAAAGTTTTAAAAGCTTCCTCAAACCAGAAAACCTACCAACCAACCACCCACCAAAGAAAAACCTAATTACATTCAAATGAAAAAAAAAATGACATTGGCATCAGACTTGTCCTCTGCAATGTTGGAGGAGAGAGAAATAACATCTGTAGGTGACTGAAATAAATAAGTAAATGGAAACCCCTGAACAAGAAGAGACACGCTACAAGGAAATCATTGTCATAATAGGTGAGAACAAAATCACGGAACTGCAGCAGAGGACTGGATGCTGGGGAGAGGGAAAGGGGAGACGTGGGGAGGGGGTGGGAGAAAAGAAGCAGAGGAGGAAGGCACAGATAGGGCGAAAGGCTAATCCTTGTGGGGTGGTGGGAACAGAGAATCTTGAAGGATGAAGGAGCTGGTATTTTATTTTCCCATGATAATACAGAAATATGTATTTGACCATAAGCAACAGAAAAAGGGCAGCCACAATTCAAAGGAATAAAAAAGTAAACTAGGACTTCCAAAGTAAAACACTTGCAAGGGAATTAGATGCTTTTGTGAACTCGAATGTTCAAGATCTTTTACAAATTCTGTTATTGATCTTTTATTTTCTTTCTTTCTTTTCTTTTCCTTTTTCTTTTTTAGAGAGGGAGAGAGAGAGAATGAGTGGGAGGGAGCAGCAGAGGGAGAGGGAGAGAGAAAATTTTTTTTTTTTTATTTTTTTTTATTTATTTATTTGACAGAGAGAGACACAGTGAGAGAGGGAACACAAGCAGGGGGAGTGGGAGTGGGAGAAACAGGCTTCCCGCAGAGCAGGGAGCCCAATGCGGGGCTCGATCCCGGGACCCTGGGATCATGACCTGAGCCGAAGGTAGACGCTTAACGACTGAGCCACCCAGGCGCCCGAGAGAAAATCTTAAGCAGGCTCCATGCCCAGTGTGAAGCCCGATATGGGGCTCCATCTCACAACCCTGAGATCATGACCTGAGCTGAAACCAAGAGTCAGACGCTTCACCCACCAAGTCACCAGGGCACCCCAATCTTTCATTTTCTAACTGTGGAATCTGAGGGACAAAATTCCCTATCTACTTTTTAATGATAAATAGATAAATCACAGCATGCATAGGGATGATTCCTGCCACACACTAAGCACGTGGTAGCTATTTTGACTGATTTTAGAGAAACTTGCTCTGGTTTTTCTCCCTGGCGTAATAACTAGAATAAACAGGGTCTCTTGCAACAGGCAGCACACCATACAGACAGCATACATAGCATACTGTTAAACCTGGGCTGACCGTTCGCAATCAGAGTCTTCTGCCTGTGAGGAAATGCGGGGTTGGGGAGGCTCTCTACCTCTCAAAGTCACAGGGCTGCTATCTGGCATGGCACAAAAGCTGATGTGGACAAATGCAAAATTTAAAATTCATAAATTTACAAATGTTAGGTTTAAAAATTTCTTCTACAAACAAAATTATTTTCTTCGTTATTCTCCTGAGACATTAGATTTCAGGACCCCATATACACCGGCATTTATGTAGTTCTTCTCTCTGACATATATGCTTAAGAAAACTTTGGTAATTTGAAGCAGTGAGTCTTAATTTTTCTTAATTTAAATTTTGTTAGTTAACATTTAGTGCAGTCTTGGTTTCTGGAGCAGAATTCAGTGATTCACCACTTCCTTCCAACACCCAGTGCTCATCACAACAAATGCCTTCTTTAATCCGCATTCCCCATCTGGCCCACCTCCCTCCATCAGCCCTCAGTTTGTTCTCTGTTCTTACGATTCTTACTTTTTGGTCGATGTATTTGTTGTCTTCAATTGCAGACCGTTTGGAGTGATCACATGACGAGGAAGAGGTAGACGGAAGGCTTCGTAAGAGGCAGCAGGTGTCCTGTTGCTGGCGATCGATGAACTGCTTCATGAAACTTTCCCTTTGCAAATGAAGTACACACACGTCAAGCATTGTTAATGAAATAGACCAAGTGATGGCATTTTACAATGACGCATTTGCCTGAGCTCAGATAAAGGGGACAGATGTTCATAGAAAATATGACACATCATGCTAAGAGTGGTGTTTAGATTTAATTGGCAAAATAATTAATTTAGAGAAAGCTTTCTGAATTTTCAGTAGTTTTCTTTAAAAAAAAAAAAGTAATGTCCCTGAAATAACTTTTAAGCAATAATATTCAGTCATTGATGGTATTTTGTTCAATCTCATTGTGGTAATACTTTTTTATCCCCTCTAAGATTTGGAAGAATTAGTTCATCTCTCGGACTTCTACTCTTCATAAGAATCTTCAAGAGATAATTTTACATTGAAAGACTCAAAATAACTCAAAAGAAACTTGCTTCATCTGATCTTCAAAGTCTGGTGAGAATTCAAATAACATAACCACTAATCTTGAATCTAATTTGTGGCTCTTTTATACTTCCTATTTTCAAGTTAAAATTTTTTTAAAATCAGAAATGCAAATGTATTTCCATTTGAATTTTAAATATTATGGCACCATAACCAGTCTCATATTTTTACAACCCCCCCCACCCCAGAATTGTCTTTAGAACTAGTTACATAAAAATGTCATATTTTGGGGCACCTGGGTGGCTCAGTTGGTTAAGCAGCTGACTCTTGATTTTGGCTCAGGTCATGATCTCAGGATGGTGGAATTGAACCCTGCATTGGGCTCCACACTCAGCACAGAGTCTGCTTGAGATTCTCTCTCTTCTTTTCCCTCTACCCCTCCCCCCACCTGCATGCACGCTCTCTTTCTCTCTCTCAAATGAATAAATAAATAAAATCTTGGAAAAAATGTCATATTTCCATTATGCTAAGTGAAATAAGCCATTCACAAAAGACAAATGGTATATGATTCCACTTACGTGAGGTACCTAGAAAAGTCAAATTCATAGAAACAGAAAGTAGAACCAGGGGTTAGCACTATAGGGAACGGGGGGTTATTTTTGTGTATGTGTATAGATTTTTGGTCTTGCAATAGAAAGAAAAGGGTGTGGATGTTGGTTGCATAAGAACATGAATGTACTAAACTGTACCCTTAAAAATGGTTAAGATGGTAAATTTAATGCTATGTGGATTTTAGCACAAATTAAAATTAAGTGGACATGCAATGCTGAAAAAAAATTAAAAAATAAAAAATGTCATATTTCAACTATTTTGGTTCTATTTGTAATTTTTGAGCTACAACTTAAATAATATTCTTTAACTATCAAAAATAAGTGTTTTAAAGTATCTTTTACGTGGGCGCCTGGGTGGCTCAGTTGGTTAAGCGACTGCCTTCGGCTCAGGTCATGATCCTGGAGTCCTGGGATCGAGTCCCGCATCGGGCTCCCTG